GGGAGCAGAAGGGTGGGAGGCAAAGATCAGAGAGGGGAGGGAAGAGGCTTCCAAGAGAGCACTTCAGAGGGCACACCTCACCAATGGGAGAGCGAGGGGAGGGGCTTCGGGGGACAAGGGGAGGGGCTTAATGGGGTACAAGGGGAGCGGCTTGGGAGTAAATAGGGGGGATTTGAGGGTAAAAATTGGTTATTTGGGGTAAAAAGGGGTGATTTTGGGGTAAAAAGGGGGGATTTGAGGGTAAAAATTGGTTATTTTGGGTAAAAAGGAGTGGGTTAGGGTAAAAAGAGGTGGGTTTTGGGTGAAAATTGGTTATTTTGGGTAAAAAAAGAGCGGTTTGGGGGTAAAAAGAGGGGGGTTTGGGTAAAAAGGGTTGGTTTTGGGAAAAAAGGGGGGTGGGAGATAAATTGGTGATTTGAGGTAAAAAGGGGATGATTTGGGGGTGAAAAAGGCTGATTTTGGAGGGGAAAAAGGCGATTTTTGGGTGAAAAAGGGTGATTTTGGGGTGAAAAGGGCGATTTTGGGGTGAAAAAGCAATTGTGGAGTGAAAAAAGGCAATTTTGGGGTGAAAAAGGGCGATTTTGGGGTGAAAAATGGCAATTTTGGGGTGAAAAATGCGATTTTGGGGTGAAAAAGGGCAATTTTGGGGTGAAAAAGGGTGATTTTGGGGTGAAAAGGGTGATTTTGGGGTGAAAAAAGGCGATTTTGGGGCAAAAAAAGGTGATTTTGAGGTTAAAAGGTAATTTTGGGGTGAAAAAAGGCGATTTTGGGGTAAAAAAGGTATTTGGGGGTGAAAAAAGGCGATTTTCGGGTGAAAAAAGGCGATTTTGGGGTGAAAAAAGGAGATTTTGGGGCAAAAAAAGCGATTTTGGGGTTGAAAGGCGATTTTGGGGTGAAAAAGGCAATTTTGGGGTGAAAAAGGGTGATTTGGGGGTGAAAAGGGTGATTTTTGGGGTGAAAAAAGGCGATTTTGGGGCAAAAAAGGGCAATTTTGGGGTTAAAAGGCGATTTTTGGGTAAAAACAGCGATTTTTGGGTGAAAAAGGGCAATTTTGGGGTGAAAAAAGGTGATTTTGGGGTAAAAAAGGGCGATTTTGGGGTGAAAACGGGCGATTTTGGGGTAAAAAAGGGCGATTTTGGGGTAAAAAAGGGCGATTTTGGGGTGAAAAAGGGGGATTTTGGCCTCTTTTTGCCCCCCCAGACCCCAAGGCCTTCTATGTCATCATCAGCTGGGACAATGGGGCCCAGATCTACGAACTGGGGGCGCAGACGGTGGCCGAGAGGAAGACGTGGGGCTGGGGGGGCCCCATTGGGGTCTATGGGGGGCCCATTGGGGTCTATGGGGGTCCCATTGTGTCCTATGGGGGGCCCCATTGGGGTCTATGGGGGGCCCATTGTGTCCTATGGGGGGTCCATTGTGTCCTATGGGGGTCCCCATTGGGGTCTATGGGGGGCCCATTGTGTCCTATGGGGGGCCCATTGTTCCCTATGGGGGTCCATTGTTCCCTATGGGGGTCCTATTGGGGTCTATGGGGGTCCCATTGTGTCCTATGGGGGTCCATTGTTCCCTATGGGGGGCCCATTGTTCCCTATGGGGGTCCCATTGTGTTCCCTATGGGGGTCCCATTGTTCCCTATGGGGGTCCCATTGTTCCCTATGGGGGGGCAATTATTCCCTATGGGGGTCCCATTGTTGCCTATGGGGGTCCCATTGCTCACTATGGGGGGCCCATTGCTCACTATGGGGGGCCCATTGTTCCCTATGGAGCCCCCATTGTTCCCTATGGGGGTCCTATTGTTCCCTATGGGGGGCCCGTTGTTCCCTATGGGGGGTCCATTGTTCCCTATGGGGGTCCCATTGTGTCCTATGGGGGTCCCATTGTTCCCTATGGGGGGCCCATTGGGGTCTATGGGGGCCCCATTGTTCCCTATGGGGGCTCAGGCTCTGCCCCTCCCCCAGCTGGTGTGACCTCATCAATGAGACCGCCGGAGCCCTCCCCCTCCCTGTGACCCCCCGTGGGAAAGGGGGGAGGGGCGGGACCCCCACCCCCACCCCCCTCGAGTGAGTATGGGGGGGGGGATGGTAAAAAAATGGGGATTTTGGGGTCCAAAGGGGGTTTTTGGGGTAAAAAAAGGGGATTTTGGGGTCCAAAGGGGGTTTTTGGGGTAAAAAAAGGGGATTTTGGGGTCCAAAGGGGGTTTTTGGGGTAAAAAAGGGGTTTTGAGTGTAAAAAAGGTGGATTTTGGGTTCATAGCAGTTTTGGGGTTAAAAAAGGGAATTTTGGGGTCCAAAGGGGGTTTGGGGTAAAAAAGGGGGATTTTGGGTTCAAAGGGATTTTTTGGGGTAAAAAAGGGGGATTTTGGGTTCATAGCAGTTTTGGGGTTAAAAAAGGGAATTTTGGGGTCCAAAGGGGGTTTGGGGTAAAAAAGGGGGATTTTGGGTTCAAAGGGATTTTTTGGGGTAAAAAAGGGGGATTTTGGGTCCAAAGGGGTTTTGGGGTAAAAAAGGGGGATTTTGGGTCAAAAGGGGGTTTGGGGGTAAAAAAAGGGAATTTTGGGTTCAAAGAAGGGTTTGGGGTAAAAAAGGGGGATTTTGGGGTCCAAAGGGATTTTTGGGGTAAAAAAGGGGGATTTTGGGGCCCAAAGGGTTTTTTGGGGTAAAAAAAGGGAATTTTGGGTTCAAAGAAGGGTTTGGGGTAAAAAAGGGGGATTTTGGGGTCTTGGGTGGTCTTTTTCTCTGACCCCTCCCTTCCCCCACAGAGAGGCAGAGAATGGGGGAGGGGCAAAGGAGACGCTGGATGGTGAGTGGGGGTCTATGGGGCTCTATGGGGTCTCTATGGGGTCTCTATGGGGTCTCTATGGGTCTCTATGGGTCTCTATGGGGTCTCTATGGGTCTCTATGGGTCTCTATGGGGCTCTATGGTCTCTATGGGGTCTCTATGGGTCTCTATGGGGTCTCTATGGGTCTCTATGGGGTCTCTATGGGGTCTCTATGGGGGTCTCTATGGGGTCTCTATGGGTCTCTATGGGTCTCTATGGGTCTCTATGGGGCTCTATGGGTCTCTATGGGGTCTCTATGGGTCTCTATGGGGCTCTATGGGGTCTCTATGGGTCTCTATGGGGTCTCTATGGGTCTCTATGGGTCTCTATGGGGTCTCTATGGGTGTCTCTGGGTCTCTATGGGGTCTCTATGGGGTCTCTATGGGTTTTCTATGGGGTCTCTATGGGTCTCTATGGGTCTCTATGGGTCTCTATGGGTCTCTATGGGTCTCTATGGGTCTCTATGGGGTCTCTATGGGGTCTCTATGGGTCTCTATGGGGTCTCTATGGGGTCTCTATGGGTTTTCTATGGGGTCTCTATGGGTCTCTATGGGTCTCTATGGGTCTCTATGGGTCTCTATGGGGTCTCTATGGGGTCTCTGCCCCCAGAGGTCCCGGTGCTGGGCACTGCCCCCCCCTTGGCCGGGGAGGGGGGGCTGGCGGCCGCTGCTCTGCAGAGAGGTGAGAGCCCCAAAACCCCCTGAAACGGCCCCAAAACAGCCCCGAAACACCCAAAATCACCCCAAAATCACCCAAAACCACCCAAAATGACCCCAAAATCACCCAAAACCACCCAAAATCACCCCAAAATCACCCCAAATGACCCCAAAATCACCCAAAACCACCCAAAATGACCCCAAAATGACCCCAAAATCACCCAAAACCACCCAAAATCACCCCAAAATCACCCAAAATGACCCCAAAACCACCCAAAATCACCCCAAAATCACCCAAAATCACCCCAAAATCACCCAAAATGACCCCAAAATCACCCAAAACCACCAAAATGACCCCAAAATCACCCAAAATGACCCAAAATCACCCAAAACCACCCAAAATAACCCCAAAATCACCCAAAATGACCCCCAAATCACCCAAAATGACCCCAAAACCACCCAAAATGACCCCCAAATCACCCAAAATGACCCCAAAACCACCCAAAATGACCCCAAAATCACCCAAAACCACCCAAAATGACCCCAAAATCACCCAAAACCACCGAAAATGACCCCAAAATCACCCCAAAACACCCCAAAACCACCCAAAATGACCCCAAAATCACCCAAAACCACCCAAAATCACCCAAAACCACCCCAAAACCACCCAAAATGACCCCAAAATCACCCAAAACCACCCCAAAACCACCCAAAGTGACCCCAAAATCACCCAAAACCACCCAAAATCACCCCAAAATCACCCAAAACCACCCAAAATGACCCCAGAATCACCCCAAAACCACCCAAAATCACCCCAAAACACCCCAAAACCACCCAAAATGACCCAAAATCACCCAAAACCACCCAAAATCACCCCAAATCACTCCAAATCACCCCAAACCACCCATATTCCCCCATATACCCCCATATATATCCCCTATATAACCTTCTAGATCCCTAAATACCACCTATACACCCCTATATACCCCCTATATACCCCTATATGAACCCTATATACAACCTATATACCCCCTATAGACCCCTATCTAACCCCTCTAAAACCCAATAGATGCCTGTACACCCCCTATGTGCCCCCTATATACCCCCTATATATACCCCCATAGACTCCTATATAACCCCTATAAACCCCTGTAGACCCCTATATATCCCCCATAGACCCCTATATACCCCCTATGTAACCCCTATAGACCCCTATATACCCCCATAGACCCCTATATAACCCCTATAGACCCCCTATAGACCCCTATAAACCCCTTTAGACCCCTATATAACCCTTATAGACCTCTATATAACCCCTATAGACCCCTATATATACCCCTATAGACCCCCATAGACCCCCATATAACCCCTGTATACCCCTATAAACCCCTATATAACCCCTATAGACCCCTATAGAACCCTATAGACCCCCTATATACCCCTATATCTCCCCATATCCCCCCATAGACCCCTCTATACCCCCCTATAACCCCTCCCCCCCCCGCAGTGGCAGCTCTGAAGCGGCTCCTCCCCTCCCCCCTCCCCCCCCCGCGGGACGAGACCGAGGCCCCCGATGGGGGAGGGGCAGGTACGGAACAAGGGGGGGGGAGGGGGGAAGGGGGGGATGGGCCCCTCCCCCCCCCCCATTGCTCATTGCCCCTCCCCCCCCCACTTAGGGGTCACGGAGCCCCCGCCCCATGCGGCCAGGGTGGGGGAGGAGCTGCGGGGCCTGGAGGAGGCGCTGCTGAGGCTGAAGGTGGGGCTGGGACCCATAGAGGGGGGCTGGGAGCCATAAGTGTGGGGCTGGGACCCATAGAGTGGGGCTGGGACCCATAGAGTGGGGCTGGGACCCATAAGTGTGGGGCTGGGACCCATAGAGAGGGGCCGGGACCCATAGAGTGCTGCTGGGACCCATAAGTGTGGGGCTGGGACCCATAGAGAGGGGCTGGGACCCATAAGTGTGGGGCTGGGACCCATAGAGAGGGGCTGGGACCCATAGAGTGGGGCTGGGACCCATAAGTGTGGGGCTGGGACCCATTGGGAGGGGATGGACCCAGATGTGTGGGGCTGGGACCCATTGGGGGGGATGGACCCAGATGTGTGGGGCTGGGACCCATTGGGAGGGGATGGACCCATAAGTGTGGGGCTGGGACCCGTAGGGTGGGGCTGGGATCCATAGAGTGGACCTGGGACCCATAGAGAAGGACTGGGACCCATAGAGAGGGACTGGGACCCATAGAAAGGGGCTGGGACCCATAACTGTGGGGCTGGGACCCATAGAGATGGGCTGGGACACATAGAGTGGGACTGGGACCCATAGAGAGGGGCTGGGACCCATAGAGTGGGACTGGGACCCATAGAGAGGGGCTGGGACCCATAGAGTGGGACTGGGACCCATAGAGAGGGGCTGGGACCCATAAGTGTGGGGCTGGGACCCATAGAAGGGGGCTGGGACCCGTAGAGTGGGACTGGGACCCATAGAGAGGGGCTGGGACCCATAGAGAGGGACTGGGACCCATAGAGAGGGGCTGGGACCCATAAGTGTGGGGCTGGGACCCATAGAGAAGGGCTGGGACCCATAAGTGTGGGGCTGGGACCCATACGTGTGGGACTGGGACCCATAGAGAGGGGCTGGGACCCATAGAGTGGGACTGGGACCCATAGAGAGCGACTGGGACCCATAGAAGGGGGCTGGGACCCATAGAGAGGGGCTGGGACCCATAAGTGTGGGGCCGGGAGCCGCTCTGGGTCCTCCCCACCGCTATGGGGCGCTGCAGGAGATGGAGGAGAGCTTCTGGCAGCTCCAACAGAGCCTGGGCAAGCGCGGCCCCACTGCAACGGGAGACACGTGAGGGGCAGGTAGGGGGCGCTATGGGGCTCTATGGGGCTCTATGGGTCTCTATGGGGCTCTATGGGGTCTCTATGGGTCTCTATGGGGCTCTATGGGGTCTCTATGGGTCTCTATGGGGCTCTATGGGTCTCTATGGGGTCTCTATGGGTCTCTATGGGGCTCTATGGGTCTCTATGGGGTCTCTATGGGTCTCTATGGGGTCTCTATGGGGTCTCTATGGGGTCTCTATGGGTCTCTATGGGGTCTCTATGGGGTCTCTATGGGTCTCTATGGGGTCTCTATGGGGTCTCTATGGGGCTCTATGGGGTCTCTATGGGGTCTCTATGGGGTCTCTATGGGGTCTCTATGGGGTCTCTAGGGGGCTCTATGGGTCTCTATGGGTCTCTATGGGTCTCTATGGGGTCTCTATGGGGCTCTATGGGGTCTCTATGGGGTCTCTATGGGGTCTCTATGGGTCACTATGGGGTCTCTATGGGGCTCTATGGGGTCTCTATGGGTCTCTATGGGGTCTCTATGGGTCTCTATGGGGCTCTATGGGGTCTCTATGGGTCTCTATGGGTCTCTATGGGGCTCTATGGGGTCTCTATGGGTCCCTATGGTCCCCATTCCCCTCTCTCCCAGCAGTGCACCGGACCCCCCCTCCAATCGCAATGGTTCAGCCTCCCTGCTTGTGCCTTCTATAGGGACCCCCCCAATCTATGGGGCTGGAGGGGAGAGGGGGTCCCTCCCAGAGCTATGGGGCAGCTTTGGGGAGCCCCCCCCCATTTTGGGTTGAAAACCCAAAGAAATGGGACAAAACCCCCAATAAAAATCGATGCTTTTGCATTTTATGCCCTTATTTATGGGACACCCCCCCCCAATAAAATGGGTTCTGATTGGCTCTAAGGGGGTGGGTCTGAGTGTGACGTCATCACGTGGATGACGTCATAAAGGGTGGGGGAGGGGATAAGCATCACCCATATAAGCCCCACCCACGCTTATGACGTCACCCCTCCCCCCAATGACGTCACTCCAACGATGTCATCGCCCAATGGGAGTTGAGGTTCTCAGTGATGGCTCCGCCCCCCTTTGTTGACGTCATTGTCCCTATTGATGAGGTCACTCCGTGACGTCACAAACCCCTTTAGGGCCTTCATTGATGACCCCCCCCCATGTGACCAGTGGTGTCCCATTGATGACATCACCCATTTATGACGTCACCCATTGATGCCGTCACCCATTGATGACGTCACCCATTGATGACATCACCCACTGATGCCGTCATCCATTGATGACGTCATCCATTGATAACCTCCCCATTGACACCATCACCCATTGATAACCTCCCCATTGATAACGTCCCCATTGATAACCTCTCCATTGATGACATCACCCATTGATAACCTCTCCATTGATGATCCCCATTGATAACCACCCATCCATTGATGACATCACCCATTGATGACATCACCCATTGATGATGTCATCCATCCATTGACGCCATCACCCATTGATGCCATCACCCATTGATGACGTCACCCATTGATGGCATCACCCATTGATGCCGTCACCCATTGATGACGTCACCCATTGATGCCGTCACCCATTGATGCCGTCACCCATTGATGACGTCACCCATTGATGGCATCACCCATTGATGGCATCACCCATTGATAACCTCCCCATTGATAACCTCCCCATTGACGCCATCACCCCCCATTGACAACATCACCCATTGACCCCATCCCATCTCCTTTATTCCATTGCCCCCCATTCCCCCCCTCACCCCATTCCCCACCCCATAGCCCCCCATTCCCCCCCATTCCCCCCTCACAGCTCCCCCCTCGCATGTAACATGTAGTGCTCATGCAGCTCCGCCACCAACCCAAAGGCCCCAGCGCACTCAGTGCATCTGAATGGGGCTGGCGGGACCCCCGCCCTTCGCTGTGGGGCGCTATGGGGCTCGCTATGGGGCCCAGCGGGGTTCTCGTCCCCTATAGGGGGCGATGGGGGGCTGCTCCTCCTCCTCCTCCTCCCATGCTCGCATCTATGGGCCCCCAAAGCGGCCGGCGCCCCGAACCCCAACCCACACTCGGCGCAGATGTAATGGAAAGGGGGGGAGGAGGAGGTGGGGGGGGGGGGGGGGGGGGGGGGGGTCTCCCCCCCCCCCCCTCCTCCTCCCGCCCCTCCCCCTCCTTGGGGCCTCTTGCGCCCCACGTGGTAACTGCGGTGCACTTTGAGGGCGCGGGAGGTGCCGAAGCCCCGCCCACACTCGGGGCACTCGTGCCACTCCGAGGCCACGCCCCCTCCCGACGCCGACGTCGATGACGTCACCGGCGTGGACACGCCCCCTCCCGTTGATGATGCTGATGAACGGATCGGGCGGGAAGAGGTGGCCACGCCCCCCCCGCCGCTTGCGATGGGGGGGTTGGGGGGGTCGGTGGGGGGGGAGGGGGAGCGCGGGGGCCTGTGGGGAGGGGGAGGGGTTAAAATGGGGGGGAGGGGTGAAATGGGGCCAGGGGTTAAATGGGGGTGAAGGGGAAGTGGAGTTGGGGGGGAGGAGTTAAATGGGGGGAGGGGGCTGGGGGAGGGGGAAGGAGATGGGGAGATGTGGTGGGGGGAGGGGTTAAAAGGGGGGAGTGGGGAGGGGGGGAAGGGGGGAGGGTTTAAAGGTGGGAGGGAGGAGGGGATTGGGGGGAGGAGACAGAGGGGGAGGGGGTTGGGGGACGGGTTAAAGGGGGGTGAAGGGGGATTGAGGGGGAAGGGGTAAAAGGGGGAAGGGGATAAAAGGGGTCAATGGGGCGGGTGGGGGAGGGGGTAAAGAGAAGGGGGAGGGGATAAAACGTGGGGGAGGGGCCCATGGGGTTGTGGGGGAGGGGTTTAGGGTTGAGCCTTTAAAGGGGGGGGAGGGGAGCAAAGGGGTTCCCACCCCTCCCTTCCCCCCTCCTCCCCATAAGCCACTCCCCCCATGGCCATTAGAAGGGAGGGGCCTATGGGAGGGGGAGGTGCTTAATGGGGGCGTGGCCTATGGGGGGAGGGGCAGTACCTGCACAGCCGTTGGAGGGGGGAGGGGTGGGGGGGGCGCTGTCCCCAGATGACACCGAGGTGGCCTCAGAGGAATCCTCATCCGGGAGAGCTGGGGGGGCAGAGACCCCATAGAGACCCCTAGAGACTCCATAGAGACCCCACAGAGACCCATAGAGACCCATAGAGACCCATAGAGACCCCATAGAGACCCATAGAGCCCCCATAGAGACCCATAGAGCCCCCATAGAGACCCCAGAGAGACCCCATAGAGACCCATAGAGACCCATAGAGACCCATAGAGACCCCATAGAGACCCATAGAGACCCCATAGAGACCCATAGAGACCCCATAGAGACCCCATAGAGACCCCATAGAGACCCATAGAGCCCCATAGAGAACCCATAGTGCTCACCTGGGGCCTCCTCTTCCTCCTCCTCGTCCTCGTCCTCCCCTTCGAAGGCTCCGTCCTGGCGCCCGCCCGCCAGCATCATCCCTGAGGCCCCGCCCACGTCACAGGCCACGCCCATAGGGACACGCCACGCCTCCCCCCCCCCCCCCCAAGACCCCCTAGATGCTCCATAGAGACCCATACGGATCCATAGGGACGCATAGAGACCCCATAGAGACCCATAGAGACCCCACAGAGACCCCATAGAGACCCATAGAGACCCCACAGGGACCCATAGAGACCCCATAGAGACCCATAGAGACCCTTAGAGACCCATAGAATCCCCATAGAGACCCACAGACACACCATAGAGACCCCATAGAGACCCATAAAAACCCCTTACAGACTCAGAGAGGCCCCATAGAGACCCATAGAGACACCACAGGGACCCATAGAGACCCCATAGAGACCCATAGAGACCCCTTACGGACTCATAGAGCCCATAGAGACCGCATAGAGCCCCATAGAGACCCCATAGAGCCCCATAGAGACCCCATATACACCCATAGGGACTCATAGAGACCCCTTACGGACTCATAGAGCCATTAGAGACCCCATAGAGCCCCATAGAGACCCCATAGAGACCCCATATACACCCATAGGGACTCATAGAGCCTATAGAGAGCCTATAGAGACCCACAGAGACCCCACAGACGCCCCATAGAGAGCTATAGAGACCCATAAACACCCCATAGAGCCCCACAGACACCCCAAGCCCCTCCCCTTTCCCCTTGAAACCCCTCCCACCCTTCCCACAATGCCCCGCGCTCCTCTCCATTGACTGCAATGGGGTTGGGGGGGGGGCGCCACCTCCCGGAACGGCCCCGGGGGGGGGGGGGGGGGGGGTAAAGGAGCAGAGGGCGGGGGGGGGAGCGTCCGCGGGCGCTGTTCCCTTCCCACAATGCCCCGCGCGGGCCTCACCGCCGCCGCTCGCTGCCGGGGGCCGCCGCTGCCGCTGAGTGCGCATGCGCGGTTGGGGGCCCCCTGCGCAAGGCCACGCCCCCCCTGGAGGCTGCGCTGAGCCAATGGGGAGCGAGGGGGGGGAGCGCATGCGTGGGAAGGGAGGGGTGGAGGAGGAGGGTCACGTGGTGGAGGAGGGAGGTGGGAGGGGGGAGGAAAGGCGAACGTGGGGAGGGGGAAGGACCCGGATGTGGGGGCGGGGCTAAGGGAGCACGGAGAGCGTAATAGGGAGACATAGGGACCTATAGAGACCCCATAGAGACCCCATAGAGACCCCATAGAGACACATAGAGACACATAGAGACCCCATAGAAACCCATAGAGACCTATAGGGACCCATAGAGACCCATAGAGACCCATAGAGACCCATAGACACCCCATAGAGATCCATAGAGACCCCATAGAGACCCATAGAGACCCATAGAGACCCCATAGAGATCCATAGAGACCCCATAGAGACCCATAGAGACCCATAGAGACCCCATAGAGACCCATAGAGACCCATAGAGATCCATAGAGACTCATTAGAGCCTGCATCTATAGGGCTGCGTGACCCACATCCTGCCATCTATGGGGCAAGGACCTTCAGGACCCCAATCTATGGGGCAGGGCCATTGTGAACCCCAATCTATGGGGCACAGTGACCCCCACCCTATGGCTATTATGGGGCAGGGATACCCAATACCCCCCAATCTATGGGGCAGGACTCCCCCACCCTATGGGCGCTATGGGGCAAGGACCTTCAGGACCCCAATCCATGGGGCAGGACCACCCAATACCCCCCCAATCTATGGGGCAAGGCCATTGTGACCCCCAATCTATGGGGCACAGTGACCCCCAACTTATGAATGCTATGGGGCAGGGACCTCCAGGGCCCCAATCAATGGGGCAGGGCCATTGTGACCCCCAATCTATGGGGCCCAGTGACCCCACTCTGTGGGCACTATGGGGTGGGGGCCCCACCCACCCCACATCCTCCCCTCTATGGGGCAGGGCCATTGTGACACCCAATCTATGGGGCAGGGCCACCCACTACCCCCCAACCTATGGGGCACAGTGAGCCCCCTTTCTGGGTCCTATGGGGCACAGTGAGCCCCCTTTGTGGGTCCTATGGGGCAGGGCCAACCAATCCCCCCCAATCTATGGGGCAGGGCCATTGTGACCCCCAACCTATGGGGCCCAGTGACCCCTATCTATGGGTCCTATGGGGCAGGGCCCTTCAGGACCCCAATCTATGGGGCAGGGCCATTGTGACCCCCAATCTATGGGGCACAGTGATCCCCCTCTGTGGGTCCTATGGGGCAGGGATACCCAACCCCCCCAATCTATGGGGCAGGGACCTTCAGGACCCCAATCTATGGGGCAAGGCCATTGTGACCCCCAATCTATGGGGCAGGAACCCCACCCTATGGCTGCTATGGGGCAGGGACCTTCAGGACCCCAATCTATGGGGCAGGGCCATTGTGACCCCCAATCTATGGAGCACAGTGACCACCATGTTATGAATGCTATGGGGCAGGGACCTTCAGGACCCCAATCTATAGGGCAGGAACACCCAAGACCCCCCAATCTATGGGGCAGGGCCATTGTGACCCCCAACCTCTGGGTCCCAGTGACCCCACTCTGTGGGCACTATGGGGTGGGGGCCCCACCCACCCCACATCCTCCCCTCTATGGGGCAGGGCCATTGTGACACCCAATCTATGGGGCAGGGCCACCCACTACCACCCAACCTATGGGGCACAGTGAGCCCCCTTTGTGGGTCCTATGGGGCACAGTGAGCCCCCTTTGTGGGTCCTATGGGGCAGGGCCACCCAATACCCCCCAGCCTATGGGGCAGGGCCATTGTGACCCCCAATCTATGGGGCACAGTGACCCCCCACCTTATGGGTGCTATGGGGCAGGGACCTTCAGGACCCCAATCTATGGGGCAGGACCCCCCCAACCCTATGGCTGCTATGGGGCAGCAACACCCAATCCCCCCCCATCTATGGGGCAGGGCCATTATGACCCCCAATCTATGGGGCACAGTGACCCCCATGTTATGAATGCTATGGGGCAGGGACCTTCAGGACCCCAATCTATAGGGCAGGAACACCCAATCCCCCCCCATCTATGGGGCAGGGCCATTGTGACCCCCAATCTATGGGGCAGGGCCATTGTGACCCCCAATCTATGGGGCACAGTGACCCCCCCTCTGTGGGTCCTATGGGGCAGGACCACCCAATACCCCCCAATCTATGGGGCAGGACCACCCCAACCCTATGGCTGCTATGGGGCAGGAACACCCAATCCCCCCCCATCTATGGGGCAGGGCCATTGTGACCCCCAATCTATGGGGCACAGTGACCCCACTCTGTGGGTCCTATGGGGCAGGGATACCCAATCCCCCCCAATCTATGGGGCAGAGCCATTGTGATCCCCAACCTCTGGGTCCCAGTGACCCCACTCTGTGGGCGCTATGGGGCGGGGGCCCCACCCACCCCACATCCTCCCCTCTATGGGGCGCGGTGACCCATAGGAACCCCCCCCATTGGCTTCTGTGGGGCGCGGGGGCGGGGGCGGGACCCACATTCCAGGGCGGGGCCGCCGCCCCTCCCCCACCCGCACCCTGTAATTGAGGTGGGGGGGGGGAGGGGTTTGGGGGGTGGGGGAGGGGATAAAGGGGGGGGACCCCCGCCCCTCCCCCCCCCATCAGCACCCGCCATGGAGCTGCTGCTGCTGCTGCTCAGTGCCCTCCTTATGGGTGCGCTATGGGGGGGCTATGGGGCTCTATGGGGCTCTATGGGGCTCTATGGGGCTCTATGGGGTCTCTATGGGGTCTCTATGGGGCTCTATGGGGTGTCTATGGGTCTCTATGGGGTCTCTATGGGGTCTCTATGGGGTCTCTATGGGTCTCTATGGGTCCCATAATGGGACTATGGGGTGCTATGGGGGTCTATGGGGAGCTACGGGTGCTATGGGGGCTATGGGTCCCTATGGGTCTCTATGGGGTCTCTATGGGTCCCTATGGATCCCATAGGCGGACTATAAGGTGCTATGGGGGTCTATGGGTGCTATGGGGGTCTATGGGTGTCTATACGGTGGTATGGGTGTCTATGGGGTGCTATGGATCCTATGGGGGTCTATGGGGTGCTATGGGGGGCTATGGGTGCTATGGGATACTACAGGCTGCTATGAATGTTATGGGGGTCTATGGGGGGCTATGGGGGCTATGGGGGTCTATGGGGGTCTATGGGGGTCTATGGGGGCTATGGGGGTCTATGGGGGTCTATGGGGGCTATGGGGTCTATGGGGGGCTATGGGGGGCTATGGGGTCTATGGGGGCTATGGGTGTCTATGGGGTGCTATGGGGGTCTATGGGGTGCTATGGGTGCTATGGGGTGAGAAGGGATGCCTATGGGATGGAGGGCTATGGGTGCTATGGGGTTGCTATGGGTCCCTATGGGGTCCCTATGGGGTGTTATGGGCATTATGGGGTGCCATAGGTGATATAGGGTGTTATGGGGTGATATGGGGTTCTATGGGTGCTATGGGGGTCTATAGGGTGCTATGGGGGTGTATGGGGGGCTATGGGGGTCTATGGGTGCTATTGGGTGCTATGGGTGCTATGGGGGTCTATGGGGTGCTATGGGGTCAAGGAGGTCCCATAGGGTTCTATAGGGTGCTAATGGGTCCCATAAAGGCTATCGGGTGTTTGGGGGTGCTATGGGTGCTCTATGGGGTGCTGGGGAGTCCCACGGGTGCTATGGGGTGCTACGGGCTTGGATGGGTGCTATTGGGTTCCATAGGGGTTATGGGGCACTATGGGGTCTCTATGGGTCTCTATGGGTCTCTGTGGGGTCCCTATGGGTCTCTATGGGTCTCTATGGGGTCTCTATGGGGTCCCTATGGGTCTCTATGGAGTCTCTATGGGTCTCTATGGGTCTCTATGGGGTCTCTATGGGTCCCTATGGGTCTCTATGGGGCTCTATGGGGTCTCTATGGGTCAATATGGGTCTCTATGGGGTCCCTATGGGTCCCTATGGGGCTCTATGGGGTCTCTATGGGTCAATATGGGTCTCTATGGGTCCCTATGGGTCTCTATGGGGCTCTATGGGGTCTCTGTGTCTCTATGGGGTCTCTATGGGGTCTCTATGGGTCCCTATGGGGTCTCTATGGGTCCCTATGGGTCCTGACCCCCCCCTCTCCCCTCCCCCAGGCTCACCCGGACCCTCCAGGGGGGCCCCGACCCCGAGGAGCTGCCCCCAAGCCCCGCCCCCCGCCGCCTGCGCTGACGTCACCGCGTCGGAGCCACGCCCCCTGGGCGCCGATGACGTCACCGCCGTGGGAGGAGCCAACGTCAGCGCCAAGGGGGCCATTGACTGCAATGGGGCCAAGGCGGAGCCAACCATGGAGGGCAATGGGGGGGGCACCCAAGGACATAGGGACCCTATGGGTGCCCCCATTGAAGCCTATGGAGATGCCACCACCCCTATAGCACCCAATGGGACACCCCAAATGGGTGATGGGGTCATGGGTGTCACCCATAGGGATGTCATTATGGAGGGGACCAACCAATCAGATGTCACCATGGACCCTAAGACCACATTGGGTGCCCCCATTGAAGCCTATGGAGATGCCACCACCCCTATAGCACCCAATGGGACACCTCAAATGGGTGATGGGGACATGGGTGTCACCCATAGGGATGTTATTATGGGATGGACGGACCCATCAGATGTCACCATGGGCCATAGGGACCCTATGGGTGCTCCCATTGAAGCCTATGGAGATGCCACCACCCCCATAGCACCCAATGGGACACCACAAGGGGGTGATGGGGCCATGGGTGTCACCCATAGGGATGTTATTATGGGATGGACGGAGTCATCTGGGGTCACCAGGGACCATAGGGACCCAATGGGTGCCCCCATTGAAGCCTATGGAGATGCCACCACCCCCATAGCACCCAATGGGACGCCTCAAATGGGTGATGGGGCCATTGCTGTCACCCATAGGGATGTTATTATGGGATGGACGGAGTCATCTGGGGCCACCAGGGACCATAGGGACCCAATGGGTGCCCCCATTGAAGCCTATGGAGATGCCACCACCCCCATAGCACCCAATGGGACACCACAAGGGGGTGATGAGGACATGGGTGTCACCCATAGGGATGTTATTATGGGATGGACCGACTCATCTGGGGTCACCCAAGGCCATAGGGACCCTAAGGGTGTCCCCATTGAAGCCTATGGAGATGCCACCACCCCTATGGCACCCAATGGGACACCCCAAAATGATGATGGGGCCATGGGTGTCACCCATAGGGATGTTATTATGGGATGGACCGACTCATCCATGGTCACCATGGACCATAGGGACCCTATGGGTGCCCCCATTGAAGCCTATGGAGATGCCACCACCCCCATAGCACCCAATGGGACACCACAAGGGGGTGATGGGGACATGGGTGTCACCCATAGGGATGTTATTATGGGATGGACCGACTCATCCATGGTCACCATGGACCATAGGGACCCTATGGGTGCTCCCATTGAAGCCTATGGAGATGCTACCACCCCCATAGCACCCAATGGGACACCCCAAATGGGTGATGGGGCCATGGGTGTCACCCATAGGGATGTTATTATGGGATGGACGGACCCATCAGATGTCACCATGGGCCATAGGGACCCTATGGGTGCTCCCATTGAAGCCTATGGAGATGCCACCACCCCCATAGCACCCAATGGGACACCCCAAATGGGTGATGGGGCCATGGGTGTCACCCATAGAGACGTTATTATGGGATGGACGGACACATCTGGGGTCACCCAAGGACATAGGGACCCTATGGGTGCCCCCATTGAAGCCTATGGAGATGCCACCACCCCCATAGCACCAAATGGGACACCACAAGGGGGTGATGAGGACATGGGTGTCACCCATAGGGATGTTATTATGGGATGGACGGAGTCATCTGAGGTCACCATGGACCATAGGGACCCTATGGGTGCCCCAATAGAAGCCTATGGAGATGCCACCACCCCCATAGCACCCAATGGGACGCCCCAAGGAGGGGATGGATCTATGGGGGGCACCCATAGGGACGTTATTATGGAAGGGCCCGACCCATGTGGGGTCATCCAAGGACATAGGGACCCTATGGGTGCTCCCATTGAAGCCTATGGAGATGCCACCACCCCCATAGCACCCAATGGGACACCCCAAGGAGGGGATGGAGCTATGGGTGTCACCCCTAGGGATGTTATTATGGAGGGGACCAACCAATCAGATGTCACCATGGACCCTAAGGCCACATTGGGTGCCCCCATTGAAGCCTATGGAGATGCCACCACCCCTATGGCACCCAATGGGACACCACAAGGGGGTGATGGGGTCATGGGTGTCACCCATAGGGATGTTATTATGGGATGGACGGACCAATCAGATGTCACCATGGACCATAGGGACCCTATGGGTGCCCCCATTGAAGCCTATGGAGATGCCACCACCCCCATAGCACCCAATGGGACACCCCAAGGGGGTGATGGGGACATGGGTGTTACTCCTAGGGATGTTATTATGGAGGGGACCAACCAATCAGATGTCACCATGGACCCTAAGGCCACATTGGGTGCCCCCATTGAAGCCTATGGAGATGCCACCACCCCTATGGCACCCAATGGGACACCACAAGGGGGTGATGGGGTCATGGGTGTCACCCATAGGGATGTTATTATGGGATGGACGGACCAATCAGATGTCACCATGGACCATAGGGACCCTATGGGTGCCCCCATTGAAGCCTATGGAGATGCCACCACCCCCATAGCACCCAATGGGACACCCCAAGGGGGTGATGGGGACATGGGTGTTACTCCTAGGGATGTTATTATGGAGGGGACCAACCAATCAGATGTCACCATGGACCCTAAGGCCACATTGGGTGCCCCCATTGAAGCCTATGGAGATGCCACCACCCCTATGGCACCCAATGGGACGCCCCAAGGGGGTGATGGGGTCATGGGTGTCACCCAAAGGGGTGTCATTATGGAGGGGACCAACCAATCAGATGTCACCGTGGGCCATAGGGACCCTATGGGTGCCCCCATTGAAGCCTATGGAGATGCCACCACCCCCATAGCACCCAATGGGACACCCCAAGGGGGTGATGGGGTCATGGGTGTTACTCCTAGGGATGTCATTATGGAGGGGACCAACCAATCAGATGTCACCATGGACCCCAAGGTCACTTCAGGTCACCCCATTGAAGCCAATGGAGACGCCACCACCTCGGTGGGCCCCACCGCCAAGCCCCGCCTCCCTGATGACATCATGGCACAGCCAGCCAATAGCGGCATCCTGAGGGGTGAAGCCCCGCCCCCGCTCTGCCCTGCCCCTCCTCCCCCCGCCCCCAACGTGTTTCCGGTCACCGTGGGGCCACATGGGGCCGCCCCTCCCCCGCTGCGGTCCCTCCCCCTCCTGCTGTTGCCCCTCCCCCTTTTGCTTCGCTGACGTCATCGCGGCACCCCCCCCCTCCCCCACCCTCTATTTATTGCGGCCTCCTATTGGTTCCCTCCCCCCCAGCCTATGTATGTTCTTAGTATGTTCTTAGCATGTTCCAGGGCTGGTGGGGCCCACAATAAAGCTCAATGTGATTGGTCGCCTCCATGTGGGGAATGGGGAGGGGGGGAATTGAGGGGGGGGCCGGAAATGGGGATGTGGCCCCTTTAAGAGGCAGCCCTTAAAGGGGCAATGCCTTAAAGGGGCAATGGCTTTAAAGGGGCAATGGACTTAAAGGGGCAATGGCTTAAAGAGGCAATGGCATTAATGGGGCAATGGGCTTAAAGGGGCAATGGCTTAAAGAGGCAATGGCATTAATGGGGCAATGGACTTAAAGGGGCAATGGACTTAAAGGGGCAATGGGCTTAAAGGGGCAATGGCTTAAAGAGGCAATGGCATTAATGGGGCAATGGGCTTAAAGGGGCAATGGGCTTAAAGGGGCAATGGCTTAAAGGGGGAAGGACTTAAAGGGGCAATGGCTTAAAGGGGCTATGGCCTTAAAGGGGCTATGGCCTTAAAGGGGCAACGGCTTCAGTGTGATGAACCCCCCCCTTAAAGCAGCAACACCCCTCATTGTGTGGTCCCCCCCCTTTACACAAATGAAATTACCCAAAATCGCTTTAATTCACCTCAAAAACGAAGGAGGGGGGAGGGACGGGGGGGGGGGGGGGCAGCGTGATGACGTCACAGCGACCCCACGTCGGTCGGCACAACGGCGAAGGGCTGGGCCGGCAGGGGGCGCTGTTGCTCGCCGCAGCGCAGCAGCCAATGGGGGCGCACGATGGTCAGCGAGGGGCGGAGCTCCAGCGCCTGCGGGGGGGGGAGGGCGGAGCTTAGGTGTGAGAGGCCGAGCCCCCTCCCGTTAAGCCACGCCCCCCAATGGGCTTTAAGCCACGCCCCCCAATGGGCTTTAAGCCACGCCCCCACCTGGTTAAAGGCCTCGTCCCAGCCGTCCGCTGTCACCACGTGGGTCACGGCATCGTTCATGGAGGGGGCCAGGGTCCTGCACCAGTATGGACCAGTATGGACCAATATGGACCATTTTGGACGAGTATAAAGCAACACAAGCGAACACAAAGCACTCTGAACCAGTACGTGCCATCATATAAACCACTATGGCGCCATATAAGCCAGTGCAAGCTTCCAGTATGAACCACTATAAACCAGTATAGCCCAGTCTAACCTTCCAGTAAGACCCAACACAACTCATTTGAAGCCCTCAGGGTAAAGCAGTGCCTGGCCTAATATAAACTGGTGGGCCCAGTCCCCCCAGGAGAACCCACTATAACCCCATTATCCCCCATTACACCCCATTATCTTCCATTATAACCCTACTACACCCCATTATAACCCATTACACTCCATTATACCCTCATTATACCGCACTATATCCCATTATCCCCCATTATACACCATTATTACACATTATAACCCCAAAATACCCCATTATAACCCCATTATATCCAATTATCCCTTGTTATCCCCCACTACAACCCCATTATCCCCCATTATAACCCCATTATCCCCATTATAACACATTGTACCACATTATAACCCCATTAGCCCCCATTGTAACCCCATTATCCCCCATTATAACCCTTTATCCCCCATTATAACCCTTTATCCCCCATTATAACCCCATTATTCCAGACAATAACTCCATTATTATCCATTATAACCCCATTATTCCCCATTATTATCCATTATACCCCAATAAAACCCCATTATAACCCATTATACTCCATTATAACCCTATTATAACCCCATTATAACCCCATTATACCCCATTATAACCCAATTATCCCCCATTATAACCCCATTAATCCCCTTTATAACCCCATTATAACCCCATTAATCCCCTTTATAACCCCATTATCCCCCAATATAAGCCCATTATCCCCCATTATAACCCCATTGTAACCCCATTATAACCCATTACCCCCCAGTATAACGCCATTACCCCCCAGTATAAACCAGTGGGCCCCACTCACCCCCCGAAGGCGATCACGAGGCGCCGCAGCCATCGCCCCTCCCCCTCCGGGAAGCTGCCGGCCAATAGGAACGAGAGGCCCCGGAAGAAGTCTGCAAAAGGGGGCGGGGCCACAAGGGGTCACATAGGGTCATGGAAGGGTTGTACTGGGCTATAATGGGTTTATACTGGGTTATAATGGGGTTAAAACGAGGTATTATGGGTTATAATGGGGGATAATGGGGTTACAATGGGGGATAATGGGGTTACAATGGGGGATAATGGGGTTATAATGCAGTTATATTGGGGTATAATAGGTTATAATGGGGTATAAAAGCTTATTATGAATTATAATAGGGTATAATGGGGTTATATTAGGGTATATTGGGGTATAATGGGGTTATAATGGGTTATAATGGTGTATAATTGTGTATAATGGTGTATAATGGATTATAACGGGGTATAATGGGGCTATAATGTGGTTATAATGGGGTATAATGGGATTATAATGGGGTATAACAGGATTACAGTGGGGTATAATGAGATTATAATGGGGTATTATGGGTTATTAGGGGGTATAAGGAGTTATAATGGGTTGTAATGGGGTAAAATAGGGTTATAACAAGTTATAATGGGTTATTATGCGGTATAATGGGTTATTATGGGGTATAATGGGGTATAGGGGTCTTATAATGGGTTATAATATGGTATAATGGGATTATAATGGGGAATAATGGGGTTATAATGGGGTATAATGGGATTATAGTGTGTTATAATGGGGTTATAATGGGGTATTATGGGTTATAATGGGGTATTATGGGCTATAATGGGGTATTATGGGCTATAATGGCGTCATACTAATAGGTTGTAATAGGTTATTATGGGTTATAATGGGTATTATGGGGTATAATGGGGTTATAATGGGTTATTATGGGGTATAATGGGGTTATAATGGGTTATTATGGGGTATAATGGGGTTATAATGGGTTATTATGGGGTACAATGGGTTATTATGGGTTATAATGGGTTATTATGGGTTATTATGGGGGTGTAATAGGGTTATAGTGTGTTATAATGGGGCTATAATGGGTTATAACAAGTTATTATGGGTTATAATAGGTTATTATGGGTTATAATGTGTTAGTATGGGCTATAACAGGGTATAATGAGATTATAATGGGATATAATGGGGTCATAATGGGTTACTATGGGCTTTAATGGGTTATTATGAGTTATAATGGGGTTATAATGGGTTATTATGGGTTATAATGGTTTATTATGGGTTATAATGGGCTATTATAGCCCCAGACCCACCAGGCAAGGGGGGAATGGGCTCCTCCTCCTCCTCTTCCTCACTGTTCTCCTCTGTGGAGCCCCCATAGGGATCATCCCTATGGAATGGGATGGATCAGAGCACGGGGGGGGGAAGGAATAACGGGAGGGGGGCACCCCCCAACACTCACGGCTCTGATTGGTCGCTGGCATCGCCCGAATCAGCTCCTGCAATGGGATTGGATGGGGTCGATGTGGGGCTGTGGACCCTTTAAGAATGGGGGGGGGGGGGATGGAGGAGGGAGGGGGCGTGGCTTACCACTGGTCACGTGAGGGGCTGGGTCTGGAGGGGGCGTGGCCTCCTCAGGCTCCTCCCCATCGCTGCCGGAGGAGGCGGAGCCATCCAGGAGGTACCTGAAGGGGGGGGGCAATGAGGCCACGCCCACAAGGGGGTGGAGCTTAGCCGAGGTTATGCATATATACCCCCCCACCCCATTGGCCAATCAGAAGGCTCCAACCCCCCAGGGGGCGTGGCTTCCGCAGCCCATTCAGGTCTCATTAGGGGTTGATACAGGGCTTATAGACAGGGGGCGTGGCTTAACCAATAGGGGGTGTGGCTTAGCCAATGGGGGTGCGACATAACCACTAGGGGGCGTGGTTTAGCCCCCCAGGGGGCGGGGTTTCCACAGCCTATTCAGGTCCCATAGTGCTGGGTGCAGGGCTTAAGGACAGGAGGAGGGGCTTAGGGAATAGGGGGCGTGGCTTAGGGCCCAAGGGGCGGGGCTTGTGCTCACGGGCGGCAGGGCAGGCGGCGGCCCCGCCTCTGGCAGTCCCAGATCCAATCAGGGCTCACGAGGAGCCCCCCCATGGCCCGAGCCCGGGCGGCTTTGGGGGTGCGGGAGAAGGCGGAGCTAAAAGGGGGGGAGGAAAAGATGAGAAAGAGGCGGGGTTAAAGAGGGGAAGGGGGCGGGGTTAAGGTAAGGGGTGGGGCTAAGAGGAGGTGGGGAAAGGGGAGGGGCAAAGTGAAAGGGGTGGGGCCAAAGGGAGGAGAAGGGGAGGGGCTAAAGAGTAACAAGGGGCGGGGATAAGAGATGGGGAAGGGGCAGGGCTAAGGAAGGGAAGGGGCGGGACTAATGGAGAAAGGGGAGGGGCAGAAGAGGTGAAACAGGAGGGGTTAGGAGGGGGAAGGGCCGGGGCAAAGATGGAAAAGGGGCGGGGCTACAGAGGTAAGAGGTGGGAGTAAGGGGCGGGGCTAAAAGGAGGGCTAAGGGGAGGTCTAAGAGATGGGAAGGGGCGTGGCTAATGGGGAAAGGGGTGGGGTTAAGAGGAAGGGGCGGGGCTAAGGGCTGGGAAAGAGGCGGGGCTAAAGGCGTGAAAGGGGAGGGGTTTAGGGGCGGAGCTAAGGGGGGGAAAAGGGGAGGGCTTAGCCTAAAGTACAGAGATTGAGGGAAATGGGCGGGGTTAAAGGGGCGTGGCTAAGGGGAAGGGGCGGGGCTTACACGAGGTGGGTGCAGCGCGGCGTCCAATCAGGGCTGTACTCGGCTCCCATGGCGACGGCGGCGGCGCGCAATTGGCCGCGGAGGGGGTTCTCGAAGCCACTCAGGGCCACCACCACCCCGGCCAAGATGGCGGCCGGAGGGGGCGTGGTTTGGGTGGGAGGGGGCGTGGCTTGGGGGGTGAGAGGGCGGGGCTGTTTCCGAGGCGTCCCATTGGCTGCGGTGGGAGGAGGCGGGGAGGGGCGGCGCTTGGGGGGCTGTAATGGGGTAAAGGGGGGGTTAAAGGAGGTGGGACTTAAAAGGGGGCGGGGTTTATGGGGAGGGGGCGGGGCTTACCCGGGGTTTGGGGGCGGAGCCAGCGCTGGCTTTGAGGGCGGCATCGGCGTAAGTGGGGCCTGGGGGAGGGGCCTTGGAGGGGGCTAAAAGGGGAGGGGGCGGGGTTTGGTGAGGCCACGCCCCCTCCTGTTGAGGCCACGCCTCCAATGGGGGAGGGGCTCTTACCTGTGGGGGAGGGGGGGCGCTGGTAGAAGAGGGCCCCAGGGGGGCGCAGTGGGGAGGCCCCCCCCTCCCGGAGGGTGAAAAGGCCCAAGCGGCGAACCTGGGGGGGGAAAGAGGGGGTTATGGGGCAGCTATGGGGTGGTTAT